AGCAGGCTCCCTGTGATATAGTCCAGATTTAACTTTAAAATATATATTATTTATTATACCCTGCCTCGTTCCAGAAGGAGTTTAAGGCAGCTAGCTGAAATATATAATCATGAAAAGCTGATTCAACTTATTTGGCAAAAGCCGTCCTGCTGTAAATGGGGGAAAAAAAGTTGAAATCCTTTTTCATTATAAAGTGAGTTATTTGAGATGATTACCTTATTTTACAACAAACAGACATTTCTAGTAATTGAACACAGTTAAGTATCTGTCCAAAAATTTCCTTTGTACCTTGTAAATTATGGCTAATACTGCTAATATATAGTGTTTTCATTCCTTCTGAACCACCATGAAATCTGATGTCCTTGTATAGACCATGCAGAAGCAATGTTTAGCACAGGTGAGGCTGGACAGTCACCAAATTTGAATCACCTGAGGCCAGTGTTTTGCCTGTGGGACGAAGGGTCTTCGGCTCTGACCCCTCCCAGGGTTCTTCCCCTTGTTATTTCATTTTATTTCATTCAACATTGAGGGGTACGACTTTCTAATTTTTTCCTTCCACGTATTACTTAAAATACCACATTTCTGTGATTTATTAAAGTATTCCAATATCATCCTTTTACATCAATTTAATAAATGAACTCTTGCCCATTTTCGTAGCACAGAGCAGAGTCCGCAAAGTCTCTGGCTGGCTTTGATGGGGCCCGATGGCGGTCTGTGGCCGTGAGGTCAGTTCCACTCTACTGGTCATTACTGTCATTTCCTGAATTGATGGACAGATTCTGGAGAAAGAAGGAGAGGAGAGATGCTGTGACGTCGGGTGGAGATGGACACCTTGGCTCAGGTGTGGGCGGGGCAACATCTGGACTCATGGTCCCCTCCAAGTGTCTGGTGTTTGAGAGGACACACTGCCTGCCAGCACTCCATTATTCCTGCCTTATTCCTGAACCGACAACACCAGGTAAGCCAGCCTTAAGGAAGAGGTGACAGGGGCGGTCAGGGGGGAGAGGAAGCTCTTTCCTGGGTGGGTGTCCATTGATGCTGAGGGTGGCAGGGTGTCTTAGAAGGTGGTTCCACACAGGCTCACATCCAACCATATTCAGGCTGCCCTGAGGCTGCTGGAGCAAACTCCGGAGCCTGTATCATCTGAGGTTGAGGGGCTTTTATTATTATTTTTGCTTGTTTAATAAAAGACAGAACAGGGGCCCCCTTGGCAGTCCAGCAGTTAAGACTCTGCGCTTCCAAAGCAAGGGATACAAGTTCACCCCTGGTCAGTGAACTAAGATCCCACATGCTGCAGGGCACGGCCAAAACTTTTTTTTAAAAAAAAGACATAAGAGTACATCAAGGAACAAAACAGAAAGAGGGACGGACTCACAGGGGCCAACTTCTGTTTAGAGATCTCTCCTGGTATCTTGAGCTCCATGGGGCAGGGCAGGTGTTGAGGGACTTTCACACACAGGATCGCTCTGCGGAGGGGATGCCATCACCCACGTTTTACAGATGAGGAAGCAAGACCCAGAGAAGCCATTATGTTCTGAAGATCTGTTTGTTTTAATCAGCAGGCCATAAAGAAGGTTGAGCGCTGAAGAACTGATGCTGTTGAGTGGTGGTGCTGAAGAAGACTCTTGACAGTCCCTTGGACTGCAAGGATAACAAACCAGTCAATCCTAAAGGAAATTAACACTGAATTTTCATTGGAAGGACTGATGCTGAAGCTGAACCTCCAATACTTTGGCCACCTGATGCAAAGAACCGACTCATTGGAAAAGACTCTGAAGCTGGGAAAGATTGAGTGAAAGGTGCACAGTCATGTCCGACTCTTTGTGACCCCATGGACTATACAATCCCTGGAATTCTCCAGGCCAGAATACTGGAGTGGGAAACCTTTCCCTTCTCCAGGGGATCTTCCCAATGCAGGGATCAAACCGAGGTCTCTTGCATTGCAGGCAGATTCTTTACCAGCTGAGCCACAAGGGAAGCCCAAGAATACTGGAGTGGGTAGCCTATCCCTTCTCCAGCGGATCTTCCCGACCCAGGAATCGAATCTCCTGCACTGCAGGCAGATTCTTTTCCAACTGAGCTATGAGGGAAGCCCAAGAAAGTGAAAGTGGCTCAGTCATGTCCAACTCTTTGTGACCCCATGGACTGTAGTCCATGGGATTCTCCAGGCCAGAATACTGGAGTGGGTAGCCTTTCCCTTCTCCAGGGGATCTTCCCAACCCAGGGATTGAACCCAGGTCTCCTGCAGAGCAGGCAGATGCTTCACCAGCTGAGCCACAAGGGACACCCGGGAAGGATTGAAGGCAAAAGGAAAAGAGGGCTGCAGAAGCAGAGATGGTTGGATGGCATCACCGACTTGATGGACATGAGTTTGAGCAAGCTCTGGGGGAGTTGGTGATGGACAGGGAGGCCTGGCATGCTGCAGTCCGTGGGGTCGCAAAGAGTCGGACACAACCCGCCAACTGAACAACAACAAAGCATGAAGCCCCAGAAATGACTATCACAGAGGAAGGGGTTTGTACTCACAGCTTCCGAGAAGCAGGAGGCATGGAACACTGTGCAGGGCAACCCAGGGATGCAGTGGATCAGTCATGGGCAGAGGGCAGGGGGAGAGAAGCTTGGTTCAGAGCCTTTACTAGGGTTTTGCGGGGAGGCAAGGCAGGGCAGAGCAAGCAGTTTAGGACGGGTGAGTTTGAATAATTACAGCAGGCTCTAGGCTGTAGGACTGTCCCTGGTTGTCTGGCTCCTGACTCTAGGATAATTTAGAGCGGGGGAATATTGACATGGTCAGTGCCAGGTAGATGTAGGAGACGGTTAAGATATGAACTCTGGATTGATAGTTTCTCTGTCAAAGACAGGCTTGCAGGCTTGCTGTTTACTGTCTGTAAGAATTAGCTGGGCTTCCCTGGCGGCTCAGTGGTGAGGAATCCACCTGCCAATGCAGGAGATGCGGGCTTGATCCCTGGGTTGGGAAGATTCCCTGGAGGAGGGCATGGCATCCCACTCCAGTATTCCTGCCCGGGAAATCCCATGGACAGAGGAGCCCGGCAGGCTGCAGTCCATGGGGTCACATAAGAGTTGGACATGGTTTAGTGACTAAACAACAACAACAACAAAGAATTAGCTAGTGCTGGGAGGAGCAGTCTCTCCAGGTTCAAGTCCCCAAATGCCAGAGCATCAGGAATATAGAAAATAAGAAAATGCAGTCAATACACAGGGTTTAACTGGATGCAGCTAATAAGCGACAGAGCCAGGGTTCAGACCCAGGCTGCCTGAGTCCAGGCCCTTCATCGGACTCAACCTGTGAGAAGTTTCTCGTCTCCCGCCCCAGCCAGCTGCTGCTGCTGCTTAATCTCGTCAGTTGTGTCCCACTTCTTGTGACCCCATGGACTGTAGCCCGCCAGGCTCCTCTGTCCGTGGGGTCCTCTAGGCAAGAACAGTGGAGTGGGTTGCCTTTCCCTTCTCCAGGGGATCTTCCCCACTCAGGGACTGAACCCAGGTCTCCTGCATTGCAGGCAGATTCTTTACCACTGAGCCACCAGGGAAGCCCCAGCCAGCGAACAGGAGCCAAGTAATCCTCGGCTCCTGCTCTTAGGAGTTTGTTTTGGTTAGAGAGTAAAAGTCAGAAGGAAAACAGAAATGTAAGATGAGATAATCTCCCCTGGAAAAGTCACTACAGCGGAGCAAATGGTATTTTAAATGCTTCAGGGACATTTCTGTTTTTAAGGAGGCTCATGATTCATCTTTTCCCCCCTATAAATTATCAACAGTTTCCTTGGTTTCCTTTCTTCTTTAGACCCACCTTTGTCATGCATCTTTGGGCCGGGGAGTCAGACTTACTAAGAACATGTCTGTTTAGCCAATATTTACGTGTGTACCTGGAAAGTTTCTGAGGCAGAAGCGGCTGTCGGAGCTTGAGTTTCTGGAGGGTTCTCCCCCTTGTTGGAGAACTACCACCCCGGCTGTCTCTGTGCCACCGCCCACATGCAGGCCCAGTGTCCCCACGACCGACACACACATGCACAGCTGTCTGCGGAGCAAACAAGAAACAACGGAGAAGTGTATGGAGAGAAACAAATGAGGGAGAGAGGTCTAGATCAGCCCCACCTGACAGATGTGTCATGGAATTCTCCAGGCCAGAATACTAGAGTGGGTAGCTGTTCCCTTCTCCAGGGCACCTTCCCAAGCCAGGGATCGAACCCAGGTCTCCCACACTGCAGGCGCATTCTTTACCAGCTGAGCCACAAGGGAAGCCCATTCATACCTCCAATGTATTTAAAATTCTCCAGTAGCTATATCAAAAAGATAAAAAGAGACAGCTGAAGAAATATTTAGAAATCTGTTCTATTTAAACCTGATGTATCTGAAGCATTGTCATTTCAACTCGTAATCATGTCAATATTTAAGATGCATTTAAGATGCCTTTAACAAAAATTATTAATGAAATATTTAACATTACTCTTTTCTTATCAAGTGTTTAAACTGGGGTGTCTTTTACACTCACAGCATCTCTCAGTTCACACCAGCCACATCTCACATGCTGATTTCGCATCTAGTGCGGCTGGTGGTTCTCACCCTGATACAGAACAACAAATACCAGGCCATTTGGTCTTGCTGTTTTCTCCACTGATGTATGGGCCCGGATTCAACACCTCCTTCAACTAGTCCGCAGGTTGTTTTCAACATTGTGATACGTAAACAATCCCAGGTTTCACATATCTTCATTTGTCTTAAGCATTTCCTCGGGACAGATTACCGGGCAGGTTTTAAAAGACTGAGTCCTCACGCAGGTGACTCTGGGCCACACCCTCTGGGGGTTAAAACACCCACATCACGGTAAGAGTACAACCTGTATTCTTGGCTTGTCCAGACCTGCCAGACAGGACCCTCAAGCCTCCTCAAAGCTTCCCCCAAAACTCTCCACCTAGGGAGCAGGACGTGGGCCTCTAGGCCTCCCTGTGGCCTCATCTGGTTTCTTCTGCTCACTTCCGTCTTATGAGATGTCAGCGGGCCAGTTCCCCATGCTGAGGGCCCAACTCCCGGCCTCTGGGCTGATGGAGGAAGGGCAAAGTCGTTCCCAGCTCTGCCACATGCAGGCCAAGCTCAGCAGTGCCTGGGCTCCCGTGTCGCTGTCCACAGACCCCAGAGCTTGGCAGGCCTAGAACATTCCAGAACCCACCCACTAGGACAGCATTATTACACTCAGGCAGACTGGAATATCTGCCAGCTCTTAACTGTGGATGAAATTAAAAGACGCTTACTCCTTGGAAGGAAAGTTATGACCAACCTAGACAGCATATTAAAAAGCAGAGACATTACTTTGCCAACAAAGGTCCGTCTGGTCAAGACTATGGTTTTTCCAGTGGTCATGTATGAATGTAAAGAAAGCTGAGTGCTGAAGAATGGATGCTTTTGAACTGTGGTGCTGGAGAAGACTCTTGAGAGTCCCTTGGACTGCAAGGAGATCCAACCAGTCCATCCTAAAAGAAATCAGTCCTGAGTGTTCATTGGAAGGACTGATGCTGAAGCTGAAACTCCAATACTTTGGCCACCTGATGTGAAGAACTGCCTCCTTGGAAAAGACTCTGATGCTGGGAAAGATTGACGATGGGAGGAGAAGGGGACGACAGAGGATGAGATTGTTGGATGGCAACACCAACTCAACAGACATGGGTTTGAGTAAACTCTGGGTGTTGCTGATGGACAGGGAGGCCTGGCATGCTGCAGTCCATGGGGTTGCAAAGAGTCGGACACTACTGACTGACTGAACTGAACTAACTGTGAATGGGTTCTTTCCAAGGGAACTCTCTCAAGCCTCCAGACCCCCAGCCTTCTGACTCAACCACCCACAATCTTCAGAAATGCCTAAAACCTATCGACATCCTAGCCAGCTCAGGTTCTTGTTGCGTCTCCCACCACAGACCATTGACCCTCTATCTATTGGCGGTGGCAAAGGGCTACCTGGAGATTTTGTGGGAAGGAGTATCATGGGCATGTCTGTGTGTCCAAGGCTTACGAGGATGGAGAGACTCAAGGGGACAACTCAGAGCTGGGGTCAGATGCACTTAAGAATGTGGGAATTTAGTGCGGGAGGGAGACCTGAGCTGGTGTATTGGTCAGTGTTGCTGCAGTGACAAACAGCCCCAAATTTTCCACGGCTATGACAGGAAAGATGTCTTTCTCACTACATTACTAGGCCTACTGCTGTGGCCCTGCTGTGCCCATCTTCTCATCTCAGGATACAGGTTCAAACAGAAGCTTCTTCTGTCTCTCAAGACAGAGGAAGAGAGCAGGAGAGAGGGCAGCTGCTTCTATAGTGCTTCCTAAAAAGAGTTTGTGCCCACATGTGACTGAAGTCCATGGATTCATGTTCCATTAGCTAAAAGATACCCTATGGATAAGCCCAAAGTCAGTGGGGCAGGGGGTCTAAACCTTTAACAGTGGAGGGAGAGTGATTAACTATGAACACCAAGTCTAAGTACCACAGGCAGCACATCCCCAACTCTGTTACACACCTGGGGAAACTGAGGCACGGTAAAAGAAAGTGGCTTGCCCAAGTCCACAAACCAGGTAAGAGCAGAACCAGGGCTAGCACCGATCTCTGGAGATCAACCCAATGTTCTTGATACTACCCTAAGGGTTTCCCAAGATGTGTTCCAAGGGATATCAACAAGGGTCTTTATTGTGAAACATCTCAGAGCCTGTTAATATGCCACTGAGAATTATGACTCTGCCAGTCAAGGAAGTGGGTTCTAACTTTTTCTGATTTTTTTTTTTTTACCACAAAACCCACAGAACCAGCTGAAGAGCAGTTTGTAGCAGTGGCCCTACCGGGAACACACTTTGGGACACACAGCAACCCCACACCAGCTAATCAAGTGGACTCTAATTCACTATTAAGAACTTGAAATTTTATGCTGCTGAAAGGAATGTGTTAAAATAACATAACCTTCCTATAAATTCTTCAAAGCTTAGAAATAGACACAGTTCTCACTTTTTAGAAGGTTCACATAGCTTTGTGAGGCCATCATTAATTTTGATTATTTTTTCCACTTTCTTTTTTCAGTTGTAGCTGAAAATGTAATAAACGTAATGAAACTGATCTTCATAAAGTCTTTGGTGGATGAATCATAGGTCCCTGGAAAATGTGTTTGCCTGTCTACAACGTCTTCTTTTTTTTCCTTTGATAAAAACAACAAATGTTACATATCACTTCTCAACAATAAAAATATGTTTTAACAAAATGAAAACGTGTGTTTTGGTGTGATAATGACGACACATGTCATTCTCGAGACATCTCGAGGGGTCATAAATGGTCTCCAGTTGAGGCCATGGAACTATTCTGAAAAAGGCATGAGAATTAGATCATCTCAAATCATGAGAGTATTTTTTTCCACGAAGAATCTTTTGATCTGTAACATATGTGAAATTAAAATCAACGTCGCACAGTTTTAGTTCCCCAAAGCCTTCAGAAAGTAAAAGCCTATTCAAATGGCTCAAAAATAAAACTATGAGATACACTGCAGTCACCCTTTAAAATAACTTCCTGACACACTCAGATAGATAGTAACCCAGGCCAGGAGGGACTTCCCTGGCGGCTCAGCCAGCAAGAAACCCACTTGTGACACAGGAGACCCAGATTCGATCCCTGGATTTGGAAGTCCACATGCCAGGCAACAGCAGAACCAGGGCTAACATGGAATCTCTGGCAATCAACCCAGCACTCTTAATCCTACCCTCAGAGTTTTCCAAAAGAAGGAAATGGCAAGCCACTCCAACATTCTTGCCTGGAGAACCCCGTGGACAGAGGAGCCTGGCGGGGGTACAGCCCACAGGTTCGCAAAGACTCAGACCCGACTGAGTGACTAAGCATACACGCATGCAGGCCAGGAGGGTCGGCTCCTTTTTCCGAGGCTCTCAGGCAGGCAGCCCCAAAGGTCACAAACTTTTGAAACAGAAGAAGCCTGAAAGCCACCAACCTGCTCACTTGGGACCTGGATCCTCTCTGTTATGTCCCTCTAGGTCACAGCATGGGTCCCAGGACAGTCACCTTCCTTGGGATAGATCGGATGGTACCAAACTGTCCAACTATTTATTTGGCTGTGTTGGGTCTTCATTATGGTGCATGGGTTTTTCCTAGTCCCCCGATTAGGGATCAAACCCATATCCCCTGCACTGGCAAGCAGGTTCTTAACCACTAGACCACCAAGAAAGTCCCCAGAGCTGTTTGTTATGTGCAATCAAGACACAATTTCCCTTAGTTTCCAACTCCTGGGGAAGGAGAAAGTGAATCTAGTTCCTCTGTTCCATGACGATCCCTTTAAATACGTCAAGACTGTCATCTTCCTCCCAGTCTTCTTTTCTCCATGTCAAATACCTGCTGGTCCCAGGCTGCTCCTGGCATGAAGGTCTCTAAGGCCCTTCGGCTGCTGGAGACAGACATTAGCCTAAAGGAGCCTCATGTGTCCAGGACTCCAGACAGGGCAGAGACAACCCAGGGCTGCTATATACCAGCCAGTGGGGACATGTGGCATCAGAGCCATGCGGGGCTGGAGGGCCTTTGTCTTCATCTCTCTGTGTCTCCACGACTGGGACCCACGCTGCTATGATGGGGCCTCCCCAGGGCCACACACTGGCTGTGTGGAGATGTTCGTTCCTGCTGACTCATATACCACCAGCAAATAAAAAGTGTACAACTTAGATCACCAGGCGATCACATTCATAGATTTGCAAAATACTTCTGTTATCATTCCAGGATGAAGTAGTTTGGCATTTTTACTGGTGGACTGAGCCAAATCTAGAATTTCGGGTTGTTTTCTGATAGTATTGAAAATGTGTTTAAAATAATTAAATCTTTTAGGCGTGGTGTCAAAAGAAAAGTCCAGCCAAATTGTTGTCCTGTCAAAGTATAGACGCCTACAAATAATCCACGGGTTTCTTTTCTCCCCAGGGCTCCCTTCGCATCCCAGACAACCTGCTTCTACAACAGTTGAGAGAGGAAGAAAAATCTTTTGGAGAAGAGAGTTTGGTCAGCCCTCCATCTCTGTTGGGGCCTGCTTGGGGGATCTACTGAGTTTCATTCCATGATCTCTTGTCCGTACATGCATACCTGGGTGAGCTGGAGGCCTCTGCTAACCGCTGGGGTCTGCCCACCTTCCAGCCTCCTTGGGGACCGTGAGCCATTTGTGAAGGAGAAAATGATGTTTAATGAGAGCACACACACCCTCAGCCTTCTCTGCCAGCGTCTCATCTTGAGGGACACAGTCAGGGTGGTGAAATGCAGTTGTCCTGGACCCCCAGGAGCCCACCCACCTGAGGTCACAGCTCCCCCCCGGCCCCCACTCCTGCAGGGGTCACCTCGGGTCCCCGGGTACACTGTCCTCCTGAAGCTGGACTCCATGGGACACGACCGCAGGGTGTATTGGTAGCAACAAAAGCATAAGCCACTTATTTTTCCTCCCTTCCTCTGGAAGCAGAGTCAATTAGCTACCTAACCGACGGCGTGCTGGAAATCGCAACACGCTGAAATGTCTCATGGATGATTATCAAGGTCTCAGCATCGGCTTTGTCAGGAGAACCCTGAACTTGCCAAGGGGACACCCAAGATGCCTACCTCCCTGCCCGACTCCACACATCCATTCTGTTTCCATAACAGCAAGTGTGATGAGGGAAAACCTTTTGTATTCTATTACAAGTTAACCACTAAAGGGGCGTTGCCTATAAGCTTAAATTGCACATAACTGGCTCATCTCTGGGAACCTGCCTCCCAGGTAATGAACATGAAGCTTCAATTAAAAAATTAATTAATTAAAAAAAAAAAAAACCTTTGTTTAGCTCGCAGGAAATCTCCTGACTAGGCCCCACCTGCAAATGCCTGCAGGGAGGAAGAAATTAACATATCCCCTCCAGAGGCTGATGGGGACCAGGAAGTGTTTGACTTTACACCTCCCTTTTAGTATAAAGAGCCCAAAGGCTAACTCAGGCAAGATGGTTCTTTGGGGGCCATAAGTTTGCTGTCTTCTCAGGCTGCTGGCTTTCTGAGTAAAATTGTTATTCCTTGCTCCAACAACTCATCTCTGAATTAATGGCCTGTCGTGTGGCGACCAGCGCGAGCTCAATCTCA